CAGCCCGAAAGCCTGAAAGCAAGGGCCTACAGGACCTGTGTCGTTTTAGCCTGAAAGCCTGAAAACAAGGGCCTACAGGCCCTGTGTCGTTTCAGGGCTGTCTCTTATACACATCTAGATGTGTATAAGAGACAGATACCCCCCTATACCCCCCTATACCTACCTATACTCCAACCCCAACCCCCCCATACCTGCCCCCATCCCCAAACGTTTCTCAGCGGATTTGGGCGGTACTCGGCAACTACAGTACCGCCCCCAACTCAGATTTGAAAAAAAATTAGTGGATGGTTGTTTTCTGGCCGACCGGTCGGCCCTACTGGTCGGCTGCAATACGGTCGGCGGTCGGGGTCGGCGGTCGGCAGGGGTGCAACCCTGATTTAAATTATAAAATTTTAAGCTATGTGATGTTTGGACATTAAACTTGATCATCTCTGTTTTGTACTCTTTTTTTTTCTGATGTGCAGGTTGAAGAGAGTGCAGTTGGCCGGGATGGAGGTATGAGCCCGGTGACGCCCGTCTTCCATGAAGCTGGAATGACTACATTCCTTGCACCTGGGTTTCAGATGGGGTGGCAGCTGTGACTGCCGCCTTGCGAGAACATAAATTGCGAAATGTTTTTTTCGTTTTTTTCTTTTTTTTCTTTCTAAACTTGAGATGCCATCCTGCTCCACCAATCTGCAGCTAAAATGGGTTCAGGGTGCTATCTTTTCGACATGGCGGACAACTCTCCACATCATTTTTGCATGATATCAGGGTTTTTTTAACACTTTTTCAGTTTTTCTATTATTCAGCACTGATCGATCTAACACTTGTGATCGGTACGTAAAATACCTGCAGCACGCTTTTGCAGTGTGGCAAAAAGTGGACTCAGGTGGAGTGCACTGTAAGTAATTATAAAATTAATATAAATATATAAAAAAAATAAATAATGGGGAGAAAAAAAGCAAAGAACGAGTTCTGGAATCTGAATCAGACTTTTGATTTATATACATTCAACAATAAGATTTTGCAATCAGACTCGACTTATTCACGCTTTTCATGCACGTGAACAGCAGCACAACAAACTGGCGACATGCGCCCACACAGTACTCAGAGATATGGCTTCCAGGTAAGTTCACTTCCACTGGCTATGGCGACTGAGCGCCCAACATCCCACTGTTCACACACTCTGGACCACCCTGGATATCCCACACACGACACTCTGCACACTCACACCACACACACACACTACTACAGCTATGGCAGCGCTAGCTGCCTCTACCCTATCGCTATACTACGCTTCTCTGCCCACTTCAACTTCGGGCACTCTGCAGACCTCCTCGCACAAGACGCTGAGGCAGCGCTTCCGCATGGCTTCCGCAGGAAAATGAATGAATGGCTGTGCGCAGCCTCTTGATTTATACTTCTGTGACTCGTTGGTCTGCCCTGTTTCCCTGGCCCACGGTGTGCACAGTCCCAGACGGTACTTGCTTGACTGGAGCGGACTAACTGGACTGGGACTGCTGACTCTGGGTGGTGGACTTCCACCACGTGCCCACTTGCCTAGACCTACAGTGGGCTGACTTCCGAAAGGCCACTTCTAGAAACGTCTATCTGGCCTTTCGGTACTGTAGCAGCCACGACTCTGCCCTTTCAGGTAAGTAGCAGCTACGACTTTGACCCTTCGGACAGTCTACAGCTACGACCTCTGGACTGTCTAGGCTCCTACCCGACAAGTCTACAGTTCGAATCCCTCATACCCTGTAGCCTACGAGATCCTACCTACCACTGGCGGTCCTACAGGTCGCAGGTTCAAATCTACGGGTTGACACAGGTACTGTACACAGATAAGGTGGGGAACTAGGGATCGAGCCCTGAGGTCTGCATCAGCTACTGCGAACTGGTGAATACCATTTCAGATTTGGCCTAGGCTAGCAGAGTGGCTGGGGACCACTTGCCCGGCCGGGCCAAAGAAAAATAAAAATTTCTTTTTTAACTTTATTTTTTATTTGCAATTCGGTGAAGAATTTTGATGTGACCCTGAGGCACAAGTTGTTCAGTTTATTTTTCTGCATAACGTAGGTTTTTTTCAGATTTTTTTTTTTGTTTTGTTTTTTTTTGTTTTTTTGCTGGGTCCCTATTTGGCCCTTGCACGGCCGGGCCGCCCGGGCAAACAAGGTGACCCAGGCGGCCCGGTTGGTAGCCTAGGATTTTGCCAATTTAGGACATTGTTCCACGTAGAAGTTGCCTGAAATACTTTTTTGCATCACACATGGTGTACAGCAGACACCACAATCATGCGCCGCACATGGTGCTTTCACCGCATTAATCCCAGAAAGAAATCCCCCAAAATTCCGCAAGTGTGGTGCCTACCATTGTGCTAACACACAGACACTATCTCACCGCTATGATGTTATCTCAAATTATCTGACTGAAGCTAGGGTATCATTGGGCAACAACAAGGTGCTATAAGCTGGCAAGCAATCTCATACACACATCTGGCCTTAAAGAACCACTGCACTACCTTTGACGTACATCGGCTGCGGGGAGCGTCCCTGCTTGTTTCGGAGGCCGAAATGAAACAGCGGCTGCTGATGACATTTATCAACAGCGGCCGCCGTCGGGCCCGGTCCTCGAAGAGTGTGGTATATATTATTATATTCCCTCTTTTCCCTACACTGTGAAAGGTAAAGGTAGTGGCAGTTTAAACCCTCTACTAGACAAGATCAGAGGCCTGCAGTGGTATATACACGCTTCACTGGAGGAAGAAGGGTTGGCCTACTGGCTGAGGGAAGGGGGGGGGGGRGGGGGGGGCGGCGGCGGTTGCAGTCTGCAAAAAAAATTCAGATTGGCCAAGTTTGACAGTTTTCCGTGCTCATAATTATCGGTGAAAAAACATGAAAGACTCAGGTACATAAAATTTGAGTGCTGATCTTTCAGGAAATAAATATTGGAAAGTGGTTTGATCATCAGCTTGGACACATCCGACTGTCAATCATGTACCTTTTCTCATTGTTTTCACATTAACTGGTGGGTTAGAGTTAACCCAAGAGCCTAGCTCAGTGGGTATACCCATGAATTGTTGAAAATACAGACCCATGTTCGAATCCAGATGATGGAAGTTGACGAGTAAAAGTTGTAAAAACGAACTATTTCTGAATTACCTGGGACGGGTCAGCTTAATGATGATATCTCAAGGCCGTCGCCCTTTTTTTTAAAAAAAAAAAAAAAAAAAAGAGTTACGCGTTGCTGTAAGAAAAAAGAAGAAGAAAAAAAAGGATGGTAAGAAGTACGAAGAACCAAAACATCCTGGCAGCAAGAGCGGATACTTTTGCCTCTGAGGTCACCTGGTAGGCCTAAAACCTTCTGGGCTCGGCGCTCCAGCGTCGAGCCAATAGGTTTGTCAAAATGTGGCTTTGGAAGAACTGATGGTTTGTTAACTTTGTTTACACTATTTCTGTGGAAGAGCATGGTGCTGCTGTTTGCAGTTATTATGATTATAAATCTGCAACAGTACAGGACAGCCCAATCCTATCGTCTTGTTCTATCGTGTGGCTCTACCTTCTAAGTTGGGACTACAGCCTTCACCCGAATAAAATGCCCGGTCATTATCGCTGCATCTGGTCCGAAAGATGCCCCAAATTCAGGTATATTCGGGTGAAGACGGTAGCACTTTGTTGTGGGGCAATCCTGTTATCTCAAACTAGAGCTACCATGGGGACCTCCTTTTTGCAGTGGCATGCTGCTTTCTGAACCAGCCCAACGCGCCATCTTATGACTGATGCTACATCTGTCTGCCCCTGCCATCTCACTTTGTGCGCGTACTGTCACGAAGCAAGCAGGTGGTTGTATCTCCCATCTTCCTGTCTTGAAATGGTAGACCTCTTTCTGAGCCAACCAGAGTTGCCCGCGCACAACGAGATGGTACTCTGCTCTGCCATCTGACCTAGAGATGCCAGTAGGTAGCAAGGTGAATGGTACTCTGCCTCTACACTCTTGTCCCCCTTGGGACCTCAATTTACCCGTCGTAAATGACTGCAACCAGTAGTTGCTGACCACATTATTGTTAACCTATGGTCAGCACAGTGTGGCAAGTTTGTCAAATGGCTCCAAAGGGAGTTTGACTGGAGACATTGTCGCTGACAACCTTGTGCTCACCACATTGCGTTAGTGTTGCAAAACCACATAATCGTCGCAGCCATTGTCACGCCCTAAGTCCAAGAGAAGCCTGGGCAAAGGCCCAAGGCCAAGGGGTACCCAGGGCAGGGCCAAAACCAGCATTCAGAGGCCCTACGAAGAACAGTTGACTTTGACAAAGTCAACGGTCAACCCCAGCACGGGAATCCAGGCCCAGAGGTCGAAGTCAACCCACTGGTCAGCCACGGCTGTCGATCAGATGCATGTCTTTGGCTGTCTGCAGGTATCTGGAAGATTCCAGTCCGACTGGGACACAAAGGGAAATGAGGCTGCGCTGCATCCAGGCCATCGGATGCTGATTCATCTGGGCCGTCGACCCAGGTAGACTGAAGGCTGGTCAACGCGAGTCAACACTATAAAGTTGACCCAGCCCCTGCTTATGATCATTCTGCCTTGTGCTGCCTTATTGCTGGTGTGATGACGCAAGGCTGCTGGAGCTTTATGCTGGCGCCAGATTTTGCGTGTGGGCGCCAGCCTTGAGCGAGATTATGCTGTCGTGGCCATAGCCACGTAGATCTCGACATTGATAGGGGAGTGGGCGAGGAGGAGGAGGATCTGGATGAGACCGGTGCATGTGATGAGGGGAATTTGCCTGGACTTACTGTAATGTCATGTGTGATATGCTGATTGTCTCCGAGTGGCTGAAAAACTGCGCCATCCTCCCTAATTGCTGCTGCCGTGCTCCTCCTCCTCCTCCTCCTCTCAGTCTCTTCTCCCCTTCTCCTCGTTCTCTTCTCGGGGTTTGAGACATTGGGAGACTACATGCACAGCGGCGAGGCGATCGTAAGAGCTTCATAAATGAGCGAGTACGCGCTTCGGATTCTTCTAGGCAAGTGTCGGGCATGGCTTCATAAACGATTTTTGGAGACATTAATGCTGCGCTGGCTCAGACTTGTATTTCGACATTCATGTGCTTCTCATCTGTCTGGGTTCATTGCATACATAACTCCACAACAACAACAACAACAAAACCATGACTGTGCCAGACTGTTTCGTCGGACTTTCACCGACTGAGCAGGATGTGTGTCTGTGTGTGAGTGTGCTGTCAAGGTTTTTTTTTTTTTTTTTTTTTTTTTTACACCCTCAAGTTGCCTGCCGTTTTGATGTGGTTCCTTTGTTTGGTTGCATGGCTGATGGGAATTGATTGGTTGTTCCTTTTTCTGGTTCGTGGTCAATCACTCTGTGGTTCTGGATGCATGAACAGATGGTGCTGGTGGTGGCGGGCGAAGTAAGGGGGGCGCTACGACTCCAGCAAATGGCCCGTAAGTGGGCTTCTCCTGTTTATTGGCCTGAGTCTTGGTCCTGAGTGTTGGGGCAACCCAGGGTTCAGAAGCATTTGAAATTTGAATATATTTATTATTTAATTATATTATAAATTTCTCCAAAACTTTTGCATAATGTTTTTTCTTATCTCTTTGGTGCAGAAGTATTGGAGTCGTGCCGCCAAGCGGATGCAGGGACGCACATTTGCGTACGTTCGCTGCACTGCTGCACGGCATATCCACTGCGCACGGCGTGCCCGCTCACCAAAAGTCGCAAGCAAAACAATTTTAAAAGTCCAAAATACGTGATGTAAAACGTAATTTTGAGCAACGTTTGGCTGAGAAACACTTTCTCAAAACCGTATTATTGTGAATTTATAAAATGTTTAAAACTGGAAACCTGTCCTTAGGGACATCCGTTGACACTGGAAAGATACCTAGAAGATTAGTGTGGCCCCGGCGCAAGGATGCCACGGATAAATCGAGAAAAGGGTAAAAAATTAAAAATACTAAAAAATAATTAAAAGTTGAGGAAAAGAAGAAAAAAAAAACGAAAAGTTTGGCGAAAACACTGTTTTTGGTCTCTGAAACTTTTTATTTTTATTTTTGTTTCATGCGCCGCACCTAGTTTTGTTCACTTCACACCACGCACAGCAGCATATGCACGCAGCGCATATGTGCCATTGGAAGCATGTTTTGTTTTTGCGCCCCCCCCCCCCCCCCCCCCCCCTTCCCTCTAATTTTTCCAAAGTAACAGCGCCGACTCTGGATCCTGGCCAATAAAGGCAAGCAACGCATCCCGGGAGGCAAGAAAGGCAAGAGGGCCGGTACACGCCGCCGCTGGAAGTATGATTTGAATTTGGACTGCATTTCTCCAAAACAGAGGGTATATGCCAACAGATCAATTAGGTTTGATCTTTTCACTGTATCTTCGTCTTGGTCTTGTTTGAGGGGTATGCCCCAATGACCCACAGTTAAATAGCCTCGGTAAACAAGGGGTTTGTTTTGTCCCTTCGCATTTTTGCTACCGCAATCGCAGACGCTAGTCTGCCTTTTCTTAATGGGTTTTGAAGTTTTGATTATGGTATGATACTGCCAGATTTAAATATAGATATACTTAGGGCGCCCCCTATCTTAAATGTGCCTGACCACATGTACGTTCCGAGCTTATATGCATCTGGCAGCAATTCTGTCCAGAAATAAGTAAAAAAGTGTTAGTGTGTGAGTATATGCCCTTTTTACTTCACATATTTGCTATTTCATCTTTAGGTGTCTGTGCTATTATAACAGGAGGTTGGTCTTGCAATTCCAAATATGCTTTTCTAGGAGCACTACTGTCTGCTGCTCAAACGGCTTCTTATGACGTTCCTTGGTCTTTTTTGTTTTGTTTTGTTTTTTTGCACAGGTTGTTGTAATTTCACGAAAAATCGTCATAGCACAAATTCTTTGCCCAATTACCTATGTATTAAGCCTCTACCTCCAGTTAATTTACCCCTCCCTACCTCTCTGCCATTCTTTTCTAATCCAACAAAGAACCGTTTGGGGACCTCCGCGTCTGAATCGCTTTTTTAGTTTACTAATAATAGAAAGTTGGTTGGTAACACTGCATTGAATCTAATGATTCCAATGATTCCAATGATTCTTTTTTTTTTTTTTTTTTTTTTTTAACTTAAATCAGGTCTTTATGGTCCTGGCTCCATATCCATTTTGGGGAGCGTCAGTCCGGTTCCTTTCCACCGGTAAGTCGAGAATGAAAAACATGGTGAACACCCACACCCTTCCTTCCGTCTGGCCGAAGGAACCCTGACCAGCATTGATTGCTCCCTATCAGGAGGATTGACTGTCAGCTTGCCCTACCTCATTTCCTCTCAGAGTCTACATTGTCTCTGCCAGATAGTACTTGTAAAACAAGAAATGGGGAGAGTTGTCTAGACTGTTGAGATTGTAATCTCAGTTTGCTCCTTCTTGGATCCCTGTTCATGTGCTGTGCCACTTCTTCCACACCATTCTGTTGTCCATCACAGTAGCGATCTTTCCTTGTAGAAGCCAGTCTCTTGTAAATTTGCGTTTCTTGGTGGCTGTTCTTTCTGGTCTGCCTTTCGTCTTCATGGTCACTTCTCGCCATCTGGATCGAATCTCTATTTCTGCCATTCTCAGCAGTAGAGCCCACATTTCCTCTCTTGGCACCTCGATTCCTTCGATCGTCTTGGAGCACCTCCTTTTCTAGATTACCCATAGAGCCAGCTTTCTGAGTAGGTGGAACCACACTTCCTTGCCCCCCATGAGATTGTTAGAGTCGTTGGATAGGAGCAGGATGTTCAGGGGGGTTGTGGCCGGGGGGGGTGAAGAAAAGAGAGAGGTCCATAGGACGCGCACTTTGTTCCAGATCCACGTTGCTTCCGTGCAGTATAAGAGGCAGTGGAGTGTGTCCTCCACAGCGTTGTCTGTGCACAGTCTGCATATCTCAGTGCTGTCGGGGTCTGTGTGTTTTCTTCTCTTGTGGAGCCACTGATTGGTTGGCAGAGAGGCGTGTGCTAAGAGCCATTGCATGCTTTGAATCCTAGCCGGTCTAATGGTTAGGAATTTAGTCCATGGGATGGTTATGGGGGTCGAGGGATCCAAACACAGTATATCCCTCCACTTGCTTCTGAGTCTGGGGTCTGGGTCTGTGGTTTGTAGGCCTAGATCATAGCCGAATTTGACATCGTATTCTGTTATAGTTCTCGTCCTCCCTGAGTTACCCTGTTTCCATACCCATTCTTTCGGGTCGAATTCTAGCTCTGAGATGCAGAGATCCGGTCGGAAGATTTTCCAGGGTTTGGACTTTGATACCCTCACTTTTCTCAGTCGAAAAGTCTCCAGCCTCTTGCTCTGGGGGTCGTTGTTCTGAACTTCCATTTCATTTGTGCTGTGTTTAACTACCGGGTAGGAATAGAACTTGGATAGGTATCCGGGTGAGTCTGTTTTGGCGACGAATCTGTATGCCTTGGTAGGCTGGGCTTGGGAGACTAGTATGCCCCAGTCCCCGGATTTCCACGAGAATTCCTCTCTTAGGAGGGGGAACCGTTGTGTTGGGATGCTATTTTGGATTAGTGTTAAGTTATCGAAGAGGGCGTGGCAGCCTTTGAGTGTGGTTCGTAGCTCCTGCTCCATAGCCCACCGTCCTTGGTCTTCTACCTAGATGTGCTTGACCTGCCATACTCCTTTTTCTACCCATGATAACCATCTGCGGTCCCGAGAGCGTAGGGTCCAGGCTGTACCGCTGGGGTCAGTGATCCAGGGATTGCAGAAAAGCGGTTGTCTCAGGACTTCTTCTCTGTTTCCTGGTGCCCCGTGCTTGCTCGGCATCATTTTGCGCCAGGCCTTGATGGTAGGGCTCCAATATTTACTGACTGCATGAGTTGGGTGTGTGTTGAGTTGTGCAGGATTGTGCTGTGCGGGGTTTCTTCTGCGTGGTTTGCCGGACTTGATTGTCCAGTCCTTTGCCATCAGCCAKAACAGGCCGTTCATGTTTCGAGGGGAGATGATGGGAGCTAGGTTTCTGATGCTGTCCAGCGCCATTTGGGTCCACGGGAGGAACTGTCTGGTGAGAATCTTGATTATCCATTTCATCTGCAGTGCTATGGATTCCTGTTTTGGGTCAATTATCCCGAGGCCCCCTTCCTGTGGCTTCCTAGTGATGTGGTTCCATGTGACCCTGTTGATGCACGTGGTCCTGTTGGGGTCACCTGTCCACAGGTAGCACCTTACCCTGTTCTTGAGTTCCTTGAGGTCGTCGTCGGGGGGGGACCATATTGATGCCATATACCACAGTGTGGAGAAGATCGCTGTGTTGATCAGTAGTGCCCGTCCGATTAGTGAGGTCTGGGCGTTTTTGCACTGGGCCAGGCGAGTGATTGCTCTTGCTATTAGGTTCTGACCCATTCCCGGCCACACTCCTTCTTTGTTGATCATGATGCCCAGGAAACGTAGTGCTTGCTCTCCCGTGGTCCAGGTCATGGGTGTGGTTGTGTCCGGGGGTTGGGGAGGGGTGTCGTCTGCTAGCCACCATCCTTCGGTTTTATTCCAATTGGCTCTCATTTCTGATGCGAGTCTAAATGCTTCCATTGCCCTTACCAGTGATTGGAAGGAGCTGTTGTTTGATTTAATGAGTACCGTAAGGTCGTCAGCGAACATGAGTGCAGTGGGTAGGGCGAAGTCGTGTAACGGGTTGAAGTTACGTTCTGTGAGGCGGTCAATGGATGGGTCTTTGCGGAGGAATGAGGCTATGGCTTCCATTATGGAGAGAAAGATGGGGGGGGGGGCAGTGGGTCACCTTGTCTGACTGATCGTGAGATTGGGTAGGTTTCTGATAGGATTCTATTGACCTGGACTCTTCCTGTCGCGTCTGTGTACAGGATTCTTACCCAACTTCCGAAGTTCGGGCCTACTCCCATTTTTTCCATGCATGTGTGGAGAAAATCCCAGTTCACTTGGTCGTAGGCCTTCTCGAAGTCGAAGAACAGGATTGCTGCCTTCATTCGTCTCTCCGTGATCTTTTTTGCTGCCTCATTCAGAGTCATCACATTGTCCAATATGTAACGACTTGGGATGAAGCCTGCTTGATCGATGTGAAAGCAGCTGTTCGTTCCCTTCTTCTTTTTCTGCGACGGCCATCGCGAATTGGAGTTCTTCCCTTCTTCTTTTTCGGTCCCTAGCAATATCTCTTGATTCCGCTGAGACTGCCCGTGTTAATTCTGTGTAGCTGTGTATGTCCTCCTTGATTCTCGCTGTTTATTGATGGCCCAGTTTTCTTGGACCGTCGTCGTCATTCTTTCGGTTTTTAATAATGAGTTGTTTAGCTTGAAGAAGCCTTGGCCTGTTTGAACTGGTACGTTGAAGTTGAGCAGCATCTAGATGGGTTTGTGATCCAGTCCTTTGAAGGCTGCTGATGGGAGGATTTCGGCCTCTTTGACTGTTTCGAGTAGGCTCTCGGATATGAGGAAGTAGTCAATCCTGGA